GNAAAAAAAAAAAGAGGAAAAATGGATAGGCTCGTTTATTTCTCTCTCTTCACGACTCTCTGTGTGTTGGGTTTTTTCCAAGAATCCGTACTTGGACGGCCATTGTTGATGTCGTTGCCCAAGCCCAACCAAGATGACATGACCACTTTTGCATGGTGGTGGTCTTCTTTTTCTTCTTCTTCTTCTTTGACCAAGGCCCACCGTGAAAACTTGGCGGCCTTTGCATGGTGGCCACCATCTTCTTCCTTCACATTTTCTTCTTCTTCTTCTTCTTCTTCTTCTTCTTCTTCTTCTTCATCGTCCTCATCCTCGTCCTCTTCTTCTTCTTTTTCTTCTTCCTCCTCTTCCTCATCCACTTCTTCTTCGTCCTCGTCGTCGTCATCATCATCATCATCTTCTTCTTCTTCTTCTTCTTTTCTTCTTCTTCTTCTTCCATCTCATTTTCGTCCTCTTCTTCTTCCGCCTCCTCCACATCATCTTCCTCTTCTTCTTCCTACTCCGATCCTCCTATTAGTCCGACCGCCGTTATTTGGTCTAACTGAAACTATTCGTAGTTACAGTACAATATTTAAAACAGTGGTTCGTGATACATATGAATCACGTTAAGTGAATGGAGAGGGATTATGTTACATAGCATGAATTGTAGAAATTGTGAACAAAGTTCCACAATTTGCATGGAGCCTTGTTTAAGTGAAATAGTTTGGGCCCAAATTGTACACCATTGCTCGAGAGCGTTACAATTACAAAAAAATGAAGTCATCCATTTGTTTTGTTTGCATAGTTTCAAAACTGCGTATTCATTAGTTCACCTTGTTATTTATGTAACACAAAGAACAAAATATCTTTGATGACGCTTAAGGCGCGACTGGTAACAGATCAAAACCAAGTTTAATTGGATCTTGAGTTAAATTGAATTAATTTTTAAATAAATTAGTTGACTTTGTGGAGGATTTTGTAATAAATAAAATTGATGTGATATAAAAGTATGAAAGAAATTAATGAAAAGTGATAGTTAGTTAAAAATATATGTATGAATGAATAGTGAATTCAACTTGATGTGATGTAGGGGATGATTGATTAATATTATTTAATTTATTGATAATATTGAGAAGAGTTGGAGTTGGATTAAATTTGAGTGCAATTTTGAATTAAATTAAGTACAAAAATTAAACAATCGGTCAAAACTTATTTTGATCCGTTACCAATCGCTGCCTAAACACTTTCCATAGACACGACCTACGCGGTTTGAACCTTGCGTATAGAAGAAAAAAGAGTGGAAATTAGGAAATTATTCTATGGTTGAAAAATGTAACATAATCCGCTTTTAGAGAGATAAATTATGGATATAGTAACATCTTAAGCTAGAGATCTTATAATATCTAATCACGAATCCAAATTTTGTGTCAGATAATCTAATCATTAGACGGGTCGCTTCGTCATACTTTCTTAAGAAAAATATTTTATACTTGTTGAAAAAATTAATTTATATTGAGAATTGTCATATTTGTTTATATTGTTTTTTAAATATTTTGCTTGTATATTAATATATGAACATTTGTTAAAAAATATATGTATAATTACTTAATTAGCCCATAGATCTGTCTAACACGAGCATTGACATCAGTGAATCACGAATTATACAACCACTTAAAGGTGGAGTATACTCGTTTGATCCACCCTTAAGACAAGACTGTTGAAATAATGACAACACATAATCATTAGGGCCACTATGCAAATTTTTCAAACATCCAGTAAAATTTGTGCGTGCCAATTTGCAAAGAAATAGAATGAGTTTTTACTATTAACTATGTTAATTTTAAAAAAAGTTAGATGGTCTGATGGAATTTTGATTTTATATTAAAATAATATTTAAAATATAATAATTAAAGTTGATTTAATATAAAAATATAAGAGAAATGACGTGAAGTGATAGTTAGTTAAAATTATGTGAGCGAATGGGTAGTGAATTAAAATTGATGTGAATTGAATGTGAATGAATTGAATGTGAATGTGAATTGAATGTGAATGAATTATTTTGTAAACAAACATGCTCATAGTCTCTTGCCTTTTGGAAATGTTAAAAATCATAGAAAGGTCGCTTATTATGTTCTTAGTTTATTTTCTAAGAGGGCCCACGAAATGATAATACCACTAGTCATTCACGTGTCATTCATCGAATGAAATGAATATAAGCTCAGACACGAATTAAAACATGAAATCTTTTCCCCACGCGAGACCCACTACTCTGATTAATTTGCACACTTTATGAATAATAAATTTAATTTGTCACAATAATTATTAGTATAATAAGTTTAAATTACTATTCGGATCCGAGTGAAATAGTGTTCGAGTTTTGCATGTTATAAAAGTTTTGATAGTTTTTATGTTAGGTTTTCTAATAGTTAAGCAGACATACTATTTCAACAAATGCACATTCAAATGTCATATGTTATGTACACTTTTTACCGATTTGAATTAATTCATAATAGCATCTCTGACCATTTGAATCGAGGATACATCGGCATTCCACAACTTCATTGAATGGCACTCTGTGTCCATCAAGGACACATCGGCACCATACAAGCATTCCATATTTACATCAACACTCAGCGCTTGCAACTAAAATCCTGATATCGGTGCCTCTCACAAAGCTTCCTTCATGCTGATTTTATCTACATAGCTTCCTTCGTGTCGATATCGCTATTCAATGTGAAACAGATTGCCGCCTAAAATCAGTTCACCCCCCGTATGAAAAGAGTTGTCGCCCATGAACCAGATATATGTCATATCCATAAAAAAGGCACGCTGTCACTAAGCATGTTGTATTGCGACTGGCCCTTCACGCATACGACACGTGTCCAATGACTCAACCACAAATCTATATATATATATAATTACTAGCTCTTCTGCATTTAATTAAACCTCATAAATTATACCTAGGTGGCATTTTCCCGCCAATTTCCGTTACTTTTCATTTGTTTTTATTTTTTATTTTCTTTATTAAAAACAACTCAATTTTCTTGAAAAGTTGAGTGTTTTAAAAATGACAACCAATTAATTCTGCAATTATAACGAGTTAATGAAAATGAAAATGTTTCCATATTTTTTTAAACATATTAATTACTCTCAACAGTTCTCATTAATTATTTTTTTAATCGAAATTATTTTTTCTATGCATAGTAAACTAAACGAAATTAATGAAAATATATAAAAAATTAATTATTAACAAATACAACTAACCAAAAAAATAAATTTAAAATAAAATAAAAAATTAGATGCTCCATCTCCGGTCAATTCCTGCAAAAATAACAAAATTAAAGATCAACTAAAACAATTAATTATAATTATCAAATTACAATTCCAAAAGTTGAGATAATTACTGTTTCGAAATTATCTGAATAGGAGGCGAAAATCTAAAAAAAAGATGCGGGAATCCAAAATTTTAAAAAATTCTTTATATAAATTCCAAGCATCAACATCCCATATTTTTTTCTTATATCATAACTTTAATAATAATTAAATATTAAATATCTCATATTTTTTGCAAATCTCATCACTCATAAAAAATAAATATTATTTATAGTCGGTCAAATCAACTATGCCATATTCTTTCTCATTTCATAACTGTAATAAAAACTAAATATTAAATATCCAATATTTTTTGCAAATCTCATTACCCTAAATATATATATATATATGTATAATTGCTGGCTCATTAGTATTTAATAAAACTTATTAAATTATACCTATGTGGCAATATAGTTTTTTTCATCGAAAAATTGTTATTTCTTATTTATTTAACCTCTCATTTAATTATTAGATATCAAAACACTAATCACTTCAAAATTACAAAAATTATTTTAAATTTTTTACGGTTGACCATATAATGTGTTGACTATTTAACTTGAGTAGATGTTATTGTTGTGGTTACATTTAAATTAACTTCTTTTGGAAATAAAAAACGTATTTGAAATTCCTAAATAAATAACAAATAATTCACAACAAAAGATACATACCAAAATATACATTACATCCACTATGAAAAACGTATTTTTAAAAAATAAAGATTTCAGCTCATTTAATTGTAAATTTAGCAAAAATCATTAATCATTATATGCATACAAATAACTCGCAATATTTTATTTATATATTTGTGCAAATACACAGGCCGAATACTAGTTGTGATGATTTTTTACTTTTTGCCTCATATAAATTGTAACATTCTCCATAAGATTGCAGCATCGAAAAATACCTCAATCTATCAAAAGTATAAAAAGGTGTGCAAGTTTATCTAAACAAGCATTAACTTACCAACAAATTCTATTTCGTTTTGCATTAATTAAATGTTATATTTATTACAATTTTTTTTTGTTGATATCGCACGTCAAAATCATACCTCAAAACATAATATAATGAAAAATATGACGTTTTCAAGTTACGAGTATGCATTATTAGAATGAAAGTATGATTGTGTGGGCAAAGTTATATAAAAATGACTACGTATTCCCGTCCAATTAAGAAGAAATCGTTACAGCAGAAAGTAACTAAATCATTTAATCAACCACCTAATTTTGTCATGAATTAATGGTTTTCACGCGTAAAACCAAAGCCTATGTGTTTGGCTTATTTGGAATTGTGCCATTGCATAATGAGTTGTTGCGCATTCAATATATCATTGAGACAGCTCCATGAGTTGACTATCAGTTCTCGATTTTCATTTACTTAGAAAATGATATTTGTTCCACAAATTCTATTAATACATATTCTAATTGTATTTATTTTAAAACACATGTAAATACACCTATATATATAATCGTTGTAAAAAATTTATAACAACTGCTTTTGTTTTTTTTTTTTGTTTTGTTTTATACAGTTATTATTAATTAAGTAATTATGTTTTTTATTTATTATATTACATAATAGCTACTACTAAGTAATCATAAAGTTACATAAAATTTTATTTTTTAAACTATTTTTTTCAGCTCATTAAGCTAGTTTTTTTGTTAAAATTGGTTAACTATTTTTTATGGCATAACCAAAGCCATTAAAAAATTCGTACGCAATTGTTATAGTAATAGTTGAAATATAATTTTATCTAATCAATTGGTCATAATCAGCCAAGATTGTGCAAGCATTACATCACTGCAATCAATACAGAAAGAATAATTTGTAAGTTAAGTAGTTTATATTTATATTGTTGATATTTAGTATTGATAAAATTTATAACATGTGATATACTCATTATTTTAAATTAACATACACACTAATTTACAAGATAATTATGAATAATTTATAAAATATATGAATACCTCTATAAACCGGCGTGTTTATACAATGACTCCATAAATAGTGTGAATGAATAGCAAAACTTTGTGAAACTGATTGATGTCTCTGAAAATAACTTTCATATTCTACTTTTGTACAACAAGAGACAAACAACTTTTGTTATGCAGTAGACTAGACATGGCCAAAACCCGGGCTGGGTCGCCGGGCTTAAAAACACTAACTCTGAACCGGGACGGACCTATACTCGTGCCGAGTCCGTGTCCGGGCCGGGTTGTGTCCGGGCCGTGCCGGGTCCGTGCTTTTTTTAAAAAAAAGTATAAAAAAATAACAAAAAAATTAAAAAGAAGGGTCATCGACCCGGCCCGGCCCTAACCCTCCGGGCCGAGTCATGAAACGAATGATCCTTACACGACTCTTCTGAAATCCGGGCCGGTCCCAGACCCGTGGTCAACGGGTTTGACCGGGCCGGGTCCGGGCGGACCCGGCGACCCTTTGGCCATGTCTACAGTAGACACTAGCTCAGGACCATGCTACACTGAAATGTACATTCAAACATAATGCACACATCTCATTACATTTTTTTTTTTTTTGTGAACAAACATCTCATTACTTAATACATCATCTAATATTTAAAATCACCTCCGATTAACTCACATTAACCATGTCAAATTTTATACAGTTCAATCTCATTTATCTCTCGTGAAATCGTGAATTTCACCTTACCTGACGGACACTTTTCCACTCTGATTTTATCCTTATCAAAACACAGCTACATACTATATATTTGAGTGTATAACTATAATCAGACTGTTAAAACTTAAAACCCCAATTGGTGTCACAGAAGGGCGAATCTACCCATAGGTAAACCAATAACAACAGCAAAAGAGAACCAAGTTGCTCATAACATTTCATGTTTCATCTACAAAGTAAAAATCCAACCCACATAAGTAAATTTACAATGAAAATTGCAACATACCCATTCATCACCACCACCATAAACCCAATCATCCTCAACATCCACTTTTATCTCCTCAAAAACGCCGTATAAATCACAATTCACACACATAAATCACCATCACTCTATAAATTGACAAGAAGAACAAGAACAAGAAAAATGGAAAAAACTTCAACAATTCAATCAATTGTTAAAAGCATCACACCTGCGCCTAACTTCACCTTGCCTCCCCGTCTTCACACCATAAACACTGAGCTTCTCCATGGCCTTCGCAAAAGCATCGAAAAACGCGCTCTGGTTTTTCGAGTAAAGATCAACATAGTTTCGGGTTCTCGGGTCGGAGCTCAATGCGAGATCCGACGACAAAAGCCCCAACCCCTTTTTCACATTGCTGTAGTACATATTGTCGAATGTGTGCGGCGTCATTATATCGTTGACTACTGATAGATCTGGGTTTTTCGTGTAGTTGGAGCAGGCGCGCCGGAGTCCGGCGGCGAATTGCGGGTAGTAAGCCGGGTGGAATCCTGATTGAGACCCCTTGTAATTGTAGATATTGGATTTGAACTCTTTGCAATGGGAGAACCCGATTGTGTGGGCTCCGGATAGGGCCACCATCTCCTGGACAGTGAATCCTTTGGATTCGAATATTTGGATCATTTGGGCCATGGTCATAGTGGGCTTTGGGAGTTGCCCCTTGACGTCGGAGGCCCGGGAGGTGAGCGAGTCCTTACGGCCCAACAGTACATTGTAGTGCGGGCCGCCGGCCATCACGACCAGGTTCCGGGCGGCGGTGGCGAGGATGTCGGCGCAGGAGACGACGCCGGGGCAGATGAGCTCGAGCTCGGTCTTGGCGCGGACGACGACGTCGAAGGCGTCGCCGGGGAGGGAGAGGTTGATGTCGGCTTCGCGCTCGGTGGGGCCGCCGGTGCGCGTGGGGGAGACGAGGGCGGAGGCGTCGCAGCCGCTGACGAAGCAGTCGTGGAAGAAGAGGCGGAGGGTGCCGGCGGCGGTGGTGGGGGACGAGATCTGCTTGTCGGTGGTGGTGCGGCTCACGATCTGGTCGAAGGTGGGGCAGGAGCGGGCGTAGTAGTCGGCGGAGAGGGGCGGCGTGCGGCGGCGCTGGGAGCGGGCGGCGGGGCTGAGGAGGAGGAGGGCGAGCAGTAGGAGGAACGGCGGCGGCGGAGCCATTTATTTTGGCCTCTCTTTTAACTGTAGGGTATGGCTGCCTGCCAAGAGATTTTCAGTGGGTTTGAACTTTTAATTGAATGGTTTAGAGATAGATTAGAGAGAGTGTGTGTGTGTGTTGGGAGGGTGTGATATACTATATAAATTGTATTTTCCTTTTTTCTTTTTTGGGCTTTAGGGAGGGGTTTTTTAGGCAGTGAGGGCGTGTAAACACGCGCCGCCTCACATCCGCTAATCATGGCATGGAATGTGTGGGCTGGAAGCGGGGCCCACCTGTCTGGCTGGATGATGTTACGTGGCGAGTCGGTGGCTTTATGGATTTCACAGGTTTATATTTGATTTACCTCTGCTAATTCACATTAAAAAATAGGAGTTGCAATTTGCAAATTTGCTTTTTAATAGTGAAAAGGTTTGTCCGTGTTTTTCAATCATAATGGAACCAATAGTGTAAATTGATTTAATAGTATTTTATGAAAATCTAAATAAAATAAGAAAGTGGAGTACGTTAATGAACTTACAAATATATATTAGGCCAGCTGGTATTTAGCCTTCATAGGTTCATCTCTACAAAGAAGATTTTAGTGTAACCGGATTTATGAAAAACAAAATCAAATTTATAAGAATATATTATGCTGTATTGAGTTTCATCATGTTGCTATTCATACATTTTGCTATATATGTATTTTGATATTTTTGACTTGTATAAATTTTGTAGATAATTTCGACGTGTGAAAGGTAGGCCTGTAAATGAGCCGAGTTCGCCTCTTTTATAACTTTTATCGAACGATTTCGAGCCTTAACGAATTGATCTTAAACTTTAACGAGTCTAACTATAAAGAATAATATAAAATTTTTCTTGTCGAGTCTTAACGAGCCTTATCGAGCTGAACTTGTTAACTAAATGAGTTCGAACTCGACTCATTGAACTCGATCTTAACGAGTTGAGCTCGAGTGAACTAGACTCGTTTAATTTAAAGCACCAGTGAAAGGTGAGAAAAAAGTGAGGAGAGAGATAGAAGAGAGAAAATTGTGGTAAGTTTCAAATTAAAATGATTAAGTACGCATTCTTATAACATAAAGATGATTAGGTCGCATTGAACAAGATTTGTAATAGTATCACCTTAATGATTAGGCTACCACAATTTATGAACTGGAATTGAGAAAATGAGACAAAGGTCTTAATCAGAAATTAAGATTAGTGCAAAAAATGAGGGAGATTAATTGGATATGAGTTAATTAACCTTGTCCCCATGCGTATTTTCCGTTCACTATCACATGATGTAAGTATCATGTACAAATTACAATGCCCCACACTTATCTATATATAATTCTTGCTACATTATAGTAATAACGTTACAATATTATTAAAGTTGTTTTTCATCTCTGTTATGAAAATCCATTATTTTATTTTCTTCAGATTCTAATACACCGAGATTAGTGAATTGTGATGGTTAGAAACTGTGGTTTTTGCCATGTGCAAGCTCGTCCTATTCTTAGGTCTTTTTCTATACATACGAGTATGAAATTAGATGTATATTTCTATTCAATTTAATTAATTTTATTCAAAAGTATGGACTTTATTTGTATATTTCTATTCAATGCAATTAGTATTCGAAAGTCCATCATGCTGCCTAACCTTTAGAAAGCTATATCTTATTTAAAAAACAAAAGAATATTTACTTATACAATGAAACACATGTTTTGTTTATGTTGTATTCTAATATATTGCAATTTACTATGAAATTATGTAAATTTATGTGTTAAAGTCTTTTCAACTATTAAACAGTCAACTCCTGTATGAAACTTTTGCAAGACAAAATTAGGCTATTTCGTTTTATCTAAATTTGAAGACGAGAGAGGATAATGTTTTCGTTAAAAGTCAAAATCTTGACTTCAACGACAAGAAATCTGTGTTAAGAGTCAATGAAATGAACAATGTCAGGTGGATTTAAAATGAAATGAACCATAAAAGTATTTAGTTCAGATCTTAAAATTTCAAAGTTTTGTNCATCAACAAAACGAGCATCGGTAAAATTCACACCTTCATGTGTGTGCATGAGTGTGTGATCTATTGGATAAAAATATATGAATATTTAATTTTTTTCTTAAAATGAATAAGTATGATTGAAAAATAGGCACAAGTTCTTCAGTTGCAATGAAGAAAAAAAATCACGTACTCATTTGAGTCAATTCATAAGGTGTAATAAACAATTTTACATGAATCAAATAGTGATTGTTTGTGAACTACAAGCGATCGGACCTAAAACAAATTCTCAAAACAAATTCTCAAAATTCGGACGAGAACAATTAATTGACAAGTTCATCACAAACAGTAAAGGGAATACAAATTTAGGGGATATCTTCTTCATCTTGGAAGCTCAAATTCAACGTATGCAACTTGAAGCCAGAGCCTTGCATTGTCTCAACCAAGTTTGAAGCCACCCCAGTAGCTTGTACAGTTGTTTGCTTTGTTAACTGCAAAAAACAAGAATGATGCCAACTCTAAATATATTTCGAACAAGCCATTGATTGGAATATGGGATGATTAGTACATAATGCAATAAGGTCTAGTTATCTTGTAAGACTATGTTTGGTAAAACTAGCTGATAAACTAGCTTATAGCTTATAAGTGATTTTCGAGCTTATAGCTTAAAACTTATAGTTATAGCTGAAAAACTAGCTTATATGATAAAAGTGTTTGGTAAAATTAGTTGATATATAAGCTAGCTGAAATAAAAATTTCAACGAGCTTATTTGAAAAGATATCCAAAGAAGCTTATGAGATAAGCTTGTCCTACCAAACGAAGCTTATTTAAATACAGGAAGCTTATAAGCTGACCAAATAAGTTATAAACTAGCTTATTTGGTTACAAAACATAGCTTAGAGCTACGAATTCAGATTGTGAATTTTAGCCTATTTCTAATGGGTATGAGGAATTCTGTCAACTACAATGTGTGTGTGATTTATATACGTGCTTTTAAAACCACAACCCATATCAAATTAGTATCTATGTAAAGAGAACAAAGAGCAAAATTCCACTTCATTTACACGTATCGTTTGCTTCTTGAAGTAAATTTATGAGCTAGACGAGTTAAAGCAATAATTTTGTAGAAAAAATTACCTCAACACTTGCAAGTCCCTCGACAACTTGAACCTTGAGATCCGAAATGCCTTCCATTCCCTATTAACAAGAATCAAAATGTCAAAAATGGTTTATCTAGGAGAAAACTAAAACAAGTTTAGTTTCGAAATGATATGTAACATCATTCCTAAAGGGACAAAATCGTATGTAATTTGAACAAGAATCTGGGATTGAATAATCATGTATTAGAGCTCATAAGAAGTTCTCTTATCTAAACTGTCAGACATCTCATAGAAATACAACAACTTTTTNGCTTGTAATACTATTAACAACTTCAAGCTGAGCTTTCCTTCTAAAATTACATAAAATCTCAATAAACGATACATCATTTTCACATTACGAATTTCTCATTTGATACCTAACAGCATTCTTGATTAATCACTGGACCAAAACAAAGTCAACACTTAAGATAGTGAAGTACCTCCAAAGCCTTAGTAACAGCAGGAATAGCAGAGTCGGTCATTGTTCCTTCTGCCTGCGCAATTTCAAAAGCAAAACTCTCTCACGCAATTTATCAAACAGTTGCCGGACAATTTGTACCGAAAAAACACACAACAAGAACAAAAAAGCAAAAGAGGAACAAAAAAATAACACGACCTGAAAATACATTGTCAAGCCGTCGGAGGGGGAGACCGCGACGGATACTGTCTGATCGGAGACGGTCGCCGCCGCCGCCGGCGACGCTTCTGCTTCGGAGGTGGCGTTCCCTGCTTCATCCGCAGCGGCCCTTACAATCGTGAGCCTCAATATGCCATGATTATTGAGCTTAGACGCCAATGAAAAACGTGAAAAGGATGGATTGTTTTGGAATTGGCTTCGGAATTTGATGCCTTTGAACCGGAGTTGAGGTGGGTTGAAAGCCGGCGGCGCGTGAGTAGAGGGAGGACGAGGAGAATTGAAGCTGGAAAAAGAGAAAGCAATGACAGTAGCCATGGCTTTAGTGACCAAAGGCTTTTTCTTGGCTCAGTTACTATATCTTCTACTCTATCCACAAAGGAAAAACGAAGATACCTATAATTGGTGTGTCTTTTATATTTAATTTTACCCATTCCTTTTAAAAATAACAATATAGTATGTTTTACAAATATTTTTAGAAAAATAAAATAAAAAATGCTACTTCCTACTTGTGCTAAAAAAAATTAAATACTGCTCTACATAGCATGATTCTTTTTTTCTTACACAATGGTTGCAAGCATAGAAATTGTTGATTTTTATTTTAAAATAATGTGAGGGGTATTTTAATGTAATTCCATTATATCTGTGCTATGATTATTATTATTATCTTTTTCTTGTTTTGACACATTTTCTTCTGATTCTTTTTCGGAATATTTCATGGGAAATTTACTTAATCATATTTGTACTTCATTATAACTAAAAAAAATTAACTTGTATTTAAAAATTACAAACAGAAGAGTTTGATTTATAATTTATTCAACTTATAAATGCATCTCTTGAGACAAAATTTGAGTAGGTAAGTTGTANAATGTATTTGACTATTTGTCCACACTCCACACACACACACACACACACAGAGAAAGAGAGAGAGAGAGAGAGAGAGAGAGAGATTTTTCTTCAAACCATACACATACAGGGGATTATGTAACTAGATTCAGCACAACAATGACTTGAAATCCAAAATTTTACAACAAAAGCGTTGCTACAAAATATACTTCTGATAGTTATCTACACTTCTGAATTTATTCTGAAGTTTGCATCATACAGAGGTTCACTACTCAGCCCGTTCGTTTTCGTTATTTCCCATCGAGTTCTACTTGAACTTCGCCGGCTGCATAATCAGAACCATAAGTATCATGTGAGATTCTCGATAGCTAACGAGAATTTTGCCAGTGGAAAAATTTGCAAGGAATATTACCCTTTAGATGTACTCCTAAGTTTGCTTGCGCATCAGCTTCGGTATTAGAGTCCTGTCAAGTTTATGAAACAAACAAGCCAATGGGTAAGATTTAATACGAGAAATCCAAAAGGTAAACAAACGTATACAACTTTGGCATCTAATTTGCTTCAAAATCCTAGGAACATTTTACCCAAAANCCAAAAAAAAAAAAAAAAAATTGCTATGTTGATTGGAGTTGATTCAACTTAGGTTGTGTTTGCTAAGCATATAAACTAATTTATAGCTTATTTGATTAGATTATAAGCTTCCTATATTCAAATAAACTTGGTTTGATAGGACGAGCTTTTTCAAATAAGCTCGAAATTCACTTAAAAGCTATAAGCTAGTTTATCAGCTAGGTTTACCAAACATAGCCTTACTCTCTCAACATGGCGAATATCGAAAGACAAAAACTGATCCTTGAGCTCTTTGGCCACCTTACATAACTCGGTCATATTCTGAGTTTTGGTTCTCCATAGACCCTGAACCTGTTAATGAGATACAGCCGTAAATAGTAAAAATAAAGAGTTCACATCGGATAAAGATGAACTGAGCGTAAATACGCTGCTACACACCTGCATGCAGACAAGTTTAGAGTCTCCTTGCACCCGTACATGTTTAAACCCTTTCGAAAGAGCAAATTTTAACCCCAAAATGGCACCACGATATTCAGCAACATTGTTAGTCGCGATACCCACACTTTCACGCAATCGATACACCTAGCAGAAAAAAAAAATGAGAAAATCATAACACAATGTAATTAATTGTAGTATTTGTTTTGAGCACGAATGATGATGATGATGATGATGATGATGGAAAAAAGGGAAAAATATGTTTACATTAATTAGCATACATGTAAGAGAAGAAACATATTATCAGTATATATATATGGCTGGCAAGAGGAAATAAATATACCCTTCCATCTGACACACGGACCACGGCCCCTGCACCAGCTAGACCAGGGTTACCTTTCGAGGCTCCATCAAACTCGATAATACACGAAAACTGAGCATGAGGGAAAATTAAATATAAATAAGCATATAACAATAATGTATCTCTATAACTAGGATAAAGGTAGAAGAACTATGAACTCTCCAAACCCATATAGAAAGTAAAACCACAAAATGAAAATGTTGGCCAAGGGGCTACAAAACTGAGGACTGGAAGCATATATTTGATCAGCACAAGAAAATTTTATTATATTACATTAATATCAAAAAATTGTAAGTTAGAAATGGTCCAATACTAAAAAATAACATGTGATTGAAACTTACGCAATAAGAAGAAATTGGAGGAACTTGGAGGAAATTATCTAATTTGCCAGGCGGCGGTATCGGAGGAGAATTTGGCGGAAATGAAGCTGACCCAACAACTTCCTGATGAGAAAGACATGAATTTTCAGTTGATCAAACATATCTTTTTGTTTGAACTCATACCCAAGAAAGAAGTCAGGTCCGTAAACCAAACAAGACATGTTCAAGGTTTAGGAGAGACTCATAGTCTCATAATACTGAAAAGGCCATTAGTTCTAACAATACTGAAAAGGCCATTAGTTCTAACTAACGAAGGATATTGAGAAATAACCTGTGGCTTCTTATCCAAATGATTCTTGCTAGCTGATTTATCTTTGGAAGAATTTGGTTCCTGCACATAAAAACTTTCTCAAAGATCGAACACTATGCACAACACCTCATCGTATATGCATAAATTTGACAAATTATGTTCCATCAACTTTTTACATAATCTAACCCTATAAGGGCAAGTGATAAGTTGGCCAAAAAGATCATCTTGCACATCGCTGGCATCAACACAATAAATAGCATTCTTAAGTCCATGAGACGATAGATAGTCCTCAGATTCCTTAGACAAACCGTACCCTTTGAAGACATTTACAGAATGATCATTTACCTACAAGAAAAAATATTTACATAAAGATTCATGACATTATCGGTCAACAAATAATTCTAAAATTTCAAATAGAAAATAGAAAAGACGAGTATTGGTCAGAGATATCCATGGACCACTAAACACTTTTCCCCTCGCTCGAACCACTTGAGCATTCGAGAATTAACTCACACTTATATATGTAAAAGAGAAAGTATACACCGGCGAGCAAAGAAAACAAATCGACCTAATCTTCCACGTCGCCAATTTTGAAAACCACGGGTTTACGAAGTCCACAGGTTCTCCAACTCAGATAGAAATTATGGCGAAAAAAAATCGTCTCTAAGCAAATCCAAAGATAGGTTTTCTACCTAAATTTGCAAGAAGCTCATATTGATTCACAAATCCAAGTGAGAAAACAATGATATAAATTTGGATGAAGAAGATCCTACACACAAACACACACGCGTGGAGTTCATATGGATTCCAAAATGGG